GTGCTGCTGCTCGTCGTCGTGGTGCTGCTGCTTGTAGTATTGTGTAGTGCTGCTGCTAGTGCTGGTGGTACTGCTAGTGCTGGTGGTACTGCTAGTGGCACTGTTGCCGCTCGTGGTGGTGTTGCTGCTTGTAGTACTGCTGACACCGATGGTACTACTGATGCTAATAGTGCGCACTGCTGCTGCTATTACTGCTGATGCTATTGGTGCTGCTGCCGATACTGGTGATTATGCTGCTGGCAGTGGTGTTGCTGCTGAAACTGCTACAGCTAGTGGAGGCAGTAGTACTGCTGATGCTTGTGGTAGTGATACCGCAGCTGCTCATGGTGGTGGTGGTGGTGGTGATATTGCTCTGCTAATGGTACTGCTGCTGCAACTCGTGGTGCAGCTGCTGCTAGTGGTACTGTTGATGATGGTGCTGCTGATGCTAGAGGTGGTGCTGCTGCTGGTGAATATGCTGCTGCTCATGGTGGTGATGCTTTTGCTACTGGTGGTTGATATGACGCTCCCCTTTCGTTATTTAATACTTCTCTGTTGGCTGTCTTTCTACAAATAATCTTTGAGGATGGAAGTCAGTCGTTTGGAAACATACGGTGCTATTAAATGGCAGGCTGTCGGGGAAAAAAAAGGAAACTGATGCGGTGAAAATAATTAAGAGAGTCGCGCGCAATTAAATGTAATAATTGTGTAAAATATGGTGTAATGAGATTGAGATTTGTAAAATGTTGGAAATCGAACTCTGATACTCGTGATGGAGGAGTCTGGCTACGGATGCTCCTTGCAGCAGCAGCAGCAGCACGAGGAGCAGCAGCACGAGGAGCAGCAGCACGAGGAGCAGCAGCTGACAGCCGCCTTGAGATGCACGCTCGCCACTTGTGACGTGCGTTGTGTGTATTGTATATGATATATGTGGGCTGTACAGTATATATGTATGAAGATATATTTTTTATAGGTAGCGATGGCACAGCGGTTAGCGTGCTGTGCTACGAACCCCGGCCATCTGATTTCAATATCCGCTCCTGGCCAAAATCGGTGACGAATCACCTGGGTCGGTCCTGGCCTCCCCTTATCTACTACACCTCTACTCAGCCTTAAATGAATACCAGGTACTGTGTGCAAACATCAGCATTGGAGAGACAAAGGCGGCTGGCTGGGCGTCGCGGTGTTGAGCACCCCCTCGTGTGCCATGCCGGCCCTAAAATGTGCTCGCTGAGAGTACTTGCCCCTACATTCTGTAAAGGCTATACTGGGGATATTAGTGTATATCTAGATTATTTCTCACTGAATTCCATCTACGTGGGTGATGTTGCACCTCTCCCCACCCAGCCCGCCCTCCCGATCTTGTTGCTGTGGTGTCCACGGCGCTCACTCGCGGCTGGACTGCGCGTCCCATGTCAGTCAGGGTACAGCAGAAAATGAGCAATTTATCTCTCTCGTGCTATTCCGCTACCACCGACACCACCACCGCCCCCTTCTTCCCGATAAGTCTTCAAGGTGGTGCTCCTCCATTGGCACTTGTTACCGTTGATTGAAAGAGACTCTGCGATCGTGGTGCGGCTGTTATGTGGAGCAGACTGTAAATGTATTTTCATTCCCATTTTTACAATGCAATGCGAGATGCCTGATGAAAATCAGAGACAACCCGATCGCTTTATTTTCGGTCGGGCGACAGCTCGTTGAGATAAAAAACACCGTCTCTGTCTCTCTCGCAGGGGAGACCTGGCTGACTGATAGCCTCCTTTGTTGCGCGTTGCAACCACGCGGTTGGGAATATTAACACGATCCACAGGCGAAACAGAGAAGATCATATCGGCTCTGACGTGTTTGCAACAAACGACCCGCACCGTAGCCACAATTTACCTAACTTTGAATAAGCGTATTAAAAAAATATCTTCACATGAATGTATTTGTCACTTAGCCGATAGCAGATTGTCAAGTTTAATTATGTGGTCCGTAAGCAATGTAGTGAATTGACCAAGTTGAGCAGCGTGGTTGGCATCACGTGCCCTTGGTCAAGGATGTACATGGGGGGGGAGGGGCTGCAGTCTTCTCTGCCCCCCCCCCGCCCTCTTTGTAGCCCAGCACCTGAGTCACTTCTGCCCATGCGGTTCTGTGCAGTTACACAGCCTGCACACTGGAGCTGACCGATGCATCGCGACACAATAAGCAAATCATGCGAGTAACATTGCGGTAGCCATGATGGGTCAAGCAAGCACAACAGTGATAACAATGCTCCCATGGAAGCGAGCCTCCATGAACAGCAGCGAGTATGGGACACAGATGGAATGAGATCACTAAATATAGGATAGGGGCGGGGAGGTGGGGGCTGGGGGACACCCATGTGCACATTCTCGGTGTCAGACTCCACGAGTGGGATCGTCTTCGTTTGACTGATGTTGATGTAGAGCAACAATTATAATTTGACATCGAGGTGGTTGAACCAGATCATTGTCAGGGGTATGACGGAGTGATGAATCATTGCTGTAATGATTCCTTTTGATTCTTATTTGTGAATGTGGAACTGAGTCGTGATACGTTCCATGGTTGGTGACCGCAGTCACACACTGACCAGATATTTTACAAATTTCCCATTTGTGCATCAATATTCACATCTGCCGCCACGGTTCATGCAAATGTGGTTTAGAGCTGCTGCTTCCATACGCCTCGCGGAAGATCGACGCCTGGAAACTTCTGTGTTGGGTTTTTCAGGAGGTGTTTGGGACTTTTTATGAATTCCATTTGGCTTTCAAAACATCATAAGGGCTAAAGTTCCACTCTTGAAGTTTGAGCGCGTGGGTCGAAAAGGGGCTTGCGTGACGTCGTGCGGTTGCGACTGTAAGAGAGATCATGAAATGCTGTGCAAGCTGTCAGAAGAAGGAAGTGATGGCCTCTTGATGCTGAATTTGGGTGCGTTTCTAGCCACACCCTGGGCAGCTTCCTTTGAATTGGGGGGGGGGGGGGGAGAAACTTACAGTGGCGGTGGAGAAGGGGACTTTTGTTCATGAGAGGGGCACAATCTCACCCAGTCCTCCGCAGGGAATCACCGCTGCCTGCAAATGCAATGAGCGACGAGTTCGCTCTGACCACGAAAACACTCCACCACCACTTAACCACCCACCATCCACCACTCAACCACCCCACCACTGCACCACTCAGACACTCTCTCACTCCATCACTGACGCTTAACGCAATGCATATCCGAGGTTCTTTCGCCTTTTTATTTTTGCATATAAAAAACAAGGAATGCAAATGCAGGACAATTATTTACTTAACCGAGTTCATTTTAAACAATACCGTTACGGACTTTTAATGGAAAACTCGTGAACCAGGTTACAAGACTCATTAGGAATTATGGCAAGTTTCTACTTTTTCTGCTTTTATTGATTGTTGCGTACCCAGTACATTGTGGCAGGACAGCAGAAAGAAGAATCAGAATCTAGTTCCATAAAGTAGCTTTCCTCATATAACAAAACTGCGTTGGCATTGCAGGGTTAAATTTACCCGGCTAATTGATGGCTCACCACCAGAATGCATCATAGTTTTTGGTGGATTGGCCCTCACTAGACTGGAGCAGTGGTTCTCAACCAGAGGTACGCAGACCGCTTGGTTGAGAACCACTGGACTGGGGCTTCTCCACGCAACTGCATCAGTGGGGCGTGTGCGTCACGGGGGAAGAGGAAGGTCATATGTGCAAACCTGTATGATGGATCATATGTGCAGTTTCCTTTCTCTGCTTTTTTAAACACCAGTTTGAAACACTTGGGTCTCATCAGCAGTGTCAAATCCTGCGATGAGTGTACGGTCCTGACAGAGTCAACATCAGGCAGTGAATATCCGCTAGATGAACCTTTTCTCAGTTCGGACCTCGGTGGACAATTTAGGGTCCAGACACCTGGCTCCCCCCCTCCCCCCCCCCCTCTTGCCTTATCTAATATCTTGTTACGAGCAGCTCTTGTCCACTCCAGCAAATTGTTTCTTGCTGTGGCTGTCCTAGTTGATGACGGAGGCTGTTGTTGCTTCCGAAACGTCGTGATTGAATGTAGTTATTTTTTTTTTTCATCTACGTGACTTTAACGAAATAACCAAAGAGTACCTAATGGGGGTTGAGGCTGGGCTAAAGTCTAGTTCATATGACTCAAGGTTGCTCGACGTACTGCTAATGCTGCACCGAAAACGTTGGTTTTAAACAAAAATTTACAAAATCAATGGAAATCTTTACTTAAAGTGATGACGCCCCTCTGCCATACCTCAGCAATCCCAGCGTGCACTTTGTTACCGCCTCGATTTCGTCTTTGATGAGCCCTATTCTTAGGTTTTTTTCGGTAAAGTCACGTAGGTAAAAACATTAAAAAGTAAAATAAAATAAATGATACAGATTTCGTGGCTGTGACGGTACCACCTGAAGACGGAAGCTCGTGTTGCCTCCGAAACGTCGTGATTTTTATTTTATTTTACTTTATAATGTTTTTACCTACGTGACTTTAACGAAAAAACCTAAGAATATGAATCCTTGCAGTGACGAAAGCTTCAAATCTAGAATTTGATGAGCCCGTCAATGATGCTGGTAAATTTGGTGGTGGTGATGATGATGCCGATGATGATTGCGGCTTGGCCTCTCGATTTAACCATCTCACATTATTATATTATTATTATTTGGGATTGAAAACACGGAGCGCTCGTTATTCTCTTCTATTGGAGGCGAACGTGAACCCCTCGCGCAGCGGGACGAGGGAATGGGGTCGTTTTTCGGCGATGCGTTAAAGAACAAAACGAACCCCGCACGTGGCGACGTTTCATTTGACACCAGAGGAACGTTTTAAAAACACTGCACAGTGGCGACGGCGACACGCCCAGTCCCATCTGGTATCGGTGTCATCATCGCCGCCGAACCTGGCCAGCTCACCTGGCCGTCTCATTGTTTTGATTAAATATCCCGACTCGGCCTCCTCTCATATGAGCCCCCCCCCCCCCCTGTGCCCACCACAACCTTGCCCCATTAGGCTCTTGTGGATGCTCATCGCTCTCCGAGCTGCTCCTGCTGCTGCTGCTGCTGCAAACCCCTCTGGGAGCCCTGCGAGATTGAGAGAAATCAGCTGCAGGCAGAACTCCCTCCTACTCCTCCTCCCCGTCGCAATCACCTCTCTGCGTCACTCCCCTTGCAGGAAATAATGAAGGCAGGATGTGAATGAGTAGAACGAGTGAAGGTGGACGGTGACCAGACGCTGCTCCCCGACTCGGCAGCGCAATCCAAACACCGGAGGATTTTGCAGGCGTGGAGTGGACGTCAACTCGACAGTCCACCAGCCGCGATCGCCCCCTGATAGGAGGCCACGTGGTCACTTATGGGATTGATCGACTGAAAATAAGAATAAGAAGGTATCAAGACTGAAACAAGTTCGAGACTGAGCCGACAGTCGAGGAGTTCTGTGGCCGTCGCGAACGAGGAATGGGACCGACGCTGGCAAGGACCCAACCCCTCGGGTCTGACCTCTCGTGAGCACGTCGAGGCTTGCAACGTCGTCCGTGGTGTCGGCGGCGGCTGCGGGGCTCGGCGAAGCTCGCATCGCAGCTGGCCGGGGGGGCGCCGCTCTCGCTATGACGGGTCGCCGAGCCCGTCGCCAACGCCGGCCTGGCGCCATGGTCACCTAGAGTGGCGGATGGCGCTCGGCGGCAGTTGTTTGGCCGGCGTGGCGCGGTGAGTGGCGTGGTCGGGCATTGCGAGCCCTTTGCCGGCATCGTGGCGTTCGGCGCGGTTGTGGGGCCAGTGGAGTAGTAAGTTGTATGGTAAGCAGTGTGGGTGGCTTGGTAAGCTGCACGGAAAGCGGGTTGGTGAGCGGTACAATAGTGTGATGAGCGGCTAGTTGTGTGGCGGTAGGGCGAGCTACGCTTTTCTGAGTGGCTTGTGGCAAGTGGTGTGGTGAGTGGTGTGATCAGCAGTTGTGGTGAGTGGGAGTAGGTGAGTGGTGCAGTGAGCAGTGTGGGAGTTATGCCAAGGCCACGCCAGGCACGTGCAGTAGAGCAAGCTTTATGTCCTCTTATCCCAGAAGCCATCCTGATTCCCTCAGCCTACAACCCCCTCGCATTTATCTGATTGCTCACGTGTTGGGGTTGTTTTTTTGAAGCCCTGTTTTGACAATCTGTGATGACTCAAGAGGTGAAAGGAGCACAGCTGCGGCGATGCAAATGAAAACCCACGAACAGCCATTGCTCTCGCAGCTTCCACTGCACGCATTATAGGAAAAGGAGATTTTAAAATAATTATAAAAACTGCAAGCAAAGCAAGATTGTTTTTTAAACCTTGCTCTGGTCATGTGAGAATTTTTTTTAAATGACATGTAAATGGCAGCGAAAATATTACTTCTATTAAATCCAAACATTACGACTTAACAGGATCTGCCCACTGACTACTACAGATTAGCACGGATGGCTACATACGGTCCGAAAGAAGTTCAACATATATAAATGCAAGTTAATAATTGATTTAGGAATGATATTTTTGGCTGGGAACTGGTGGAAGAAATTCAAAAGGCTGCCAGGCATCGCATCTTTCTGGTTATGCACATTGGAGGCCTCTGTCGCCGTTCTGCCACTGACGAGCTGTGGATGTGAAACTTGACTTTGCTGGATAAGCAGTATACGAACTTAGCTCGGTGGAGAAAAAAGTTTAGATTTTTGTAACAAAAAGATTACTCACCCTTACTTGACAGGGCAATAATAATAGTATTATGTTTTTTCGAAACGTTCTTGAAAAGTTGCTTGATGGTGGCGTTGTCGGTGGATTGATTTGTCGCCGTTGTCCCACTATGCTGCAACAGCATGGATGCTAATCATAAGGTGGCTGAAATTGGAAATGCAGCAAATACAAATTGCCCACAAACGTGGATTGGTTCGATCACAGGTTATTACATATTGTGAAATAATAACTGTCATTATTATCGCAGTCGGAATTGTGAGTCTGTTCATTTGGGGGTGGGGGGCGAACAAACAACCCAAAACACTGGCTGCTCCCATGCGATTCTAAATCTATAAAAGTGAGGAGTAAGGAAATGCGCTGTCTCTAGCACAGTGGTGTGAAGAGCGATCTTCCCCTTCAAGGTGTCTCATCTCCATCCCGCGTACGCACGCTTGGAAAACCCATAAAAGCAAACCTTCAGAAATTTCTCAACTTTTTTTTTGTCTCGGTTGCGATAGCCATCATTATCACCTGGGTCATAACTACGAACCTATTACCAGCGTCCCAGACGGATTGAACGGGCAGCCTCATGGCGGCCACGATGGTGCCGTCGCCGGTCAGCCCGTGGCTGTGCCGCGGGCCAGACCTCCGGCGCATGGTCGCGCTGCTCCTCGTGTTCAGCGTGCTCTCGCTGGCGCTGCTGGCGTACTACGTGTCGAGCGGCGGCAAGGCGACGCCCGTGTCGCCCAGCCCGCCGGCGCTTCGCCAAGTGGCCGCTCGCGGCTCCCCGGTGGCGCCGGGGGCCGGCGGGGACGAGTGGGCGACCGCGGCGCGCAGCGCTGACGCCTGGGGGAGGATGGAGTTGCGGCCGTTGAGGCCCTGCCTGGTCGCCACGTCCGCGGAGCAAGAGGACGACGACGAGGAGGAGGAGGAGCGGGAAAGAGGGGGGCAGGAGCAGGAGAAAGACGGGGACCCGGACGTGGAAAGCGTCACGGCGAAGCACGCGGGAGATGGGGAAAAGAAGGGAGAGGGGAGCAGGGAGAGCAGAGCGCGGACGGAGGGCAGAGATGGGGACGAGGTGAGGAGGCACCCGAGAGATGGGGAGAACAGCGCGGAGCAGAGGGAGGCGTACCGGGTGGTGACGGGCAAGGCGAAGCTGCGGGGGAGAAGCCCAAGCCTCCCGACTCCCTCCCAGGTCCCCGAGCGGCCCGCTGTGCCAAGGGGAGTGCAGCATCACCCGGCTGGGCCATCTCCACTGCAGCTGCAGCAGGTACCAGGGGCTGCCACTGCTTTTTGTTTCTAATTCTCAAATAATTGTAGCGGAGCAGTTGATCCTGTGAAACTAGTGACCTAAGTTGGAATCCTGGCCCTTGTTTACTCCAATGGTGAGTGCTTTATTGAAACTGCACTGAACACCGTGGTGGAGTATGTTGAAGCAACGCCCCATCGCCGGCACGGAATGGAGAACGATTCAGCATAGGGATGCACGTTTTTTATCTAGTACATTATAATTGATCTGCATGACTGCGATGTTAAAGTCAAGTGCAATATAATGCCCTTTATCCAGGAAAGTTCCACTCTCAAGACAGTCTTTCAAGAGGGTCCTGTCATGGGATGTTTGGCCAATTCCATTTATGATAGTTTGGCATGTGGGAGAGGAAACCTACTATGCATACAAGGGGTTAAACGCAAAGCTCTGCACAGATAGATTAAATAATCCATTGCTGTCTTTTGGCTACCTTGATAAGTTTTCATCCTGCTTTCATGATGAGGTCCAGTTCTGATCACCATAATTTAAGTTGAAATAATCGCTCATCATGAGAGATGGTACATTAACTTGCGATTATTTATTTCATGATTACCGAGGCAGCGTTAAAACTCCCATGCTGCCATCACAAGGTCCGTGAATGTGGTCCATGTATCCGGAAACTCTTCGTAACTAAATCAGCTGGAATGCACCCAATCTCCTCAGACATAGGAAGTTAAGTGGATTTCAGCCTGATTGATGTTTGGATGGGTAGTCACTCATGAATTGGGCAAGGAGCGCCCGCTAAAGTTCTCCCCGGCTTTGCGATCCGCGTGGAGCCGTGTTCGGGCTGCGGCTGAGCGGGCTGTGCCGTGCGGTGCAGGACGGCGCGGTGTGGCGCACAGAGCCCGTTGTGCTGCTCTTCCTGGAGAGCCACTACTCGCCCGCCGGGCAGGAGATCGTCGCCGTGCTGGAGGCCGGACGCTTCCGCTACCAGGCTGAGACAGCGGCCACGGGCCTCAAGGTGAGGGGCGGCTGGCATCGCTGAGGCTGCAGGGGCTCCGTCGTGGAGGTCGCAAATTACTCGGTGACTCGTAGAACGACGAACCGGGTGGACATTCTGTGATAAATACAGGGCCTTGCTCTTGTCCACATCCTTTGTCTCAAGGGTTGCCACCTATCCTGGCATTCCCAGGACCATGAGCAATGTGTGCAGGTCAGAAACAGCAAAACAGCAACTCGCCTTAAGTGAGAACATGATGCAACTAACAATCCGTAAAAACTACGTTGAAAATCTACAAAAACTAATTCCAAACCCGGTCTGCAATGACTGTATCGTCCTGATCTTCTTGGTTCTTTCGGTAAAGTCACGTAGAAGGGAAGTAATAAAATAATAAAAATAAAACAGACTTTGTCGCCTCGACGGACCTGGTTTTCACCTGAGGACGGCTGCTTGCGTTGTGGCCGAAACGTCGTGAGAATAATTTTATTATGTTTTATTTTTATTATTTTATTACTTCCCTTCTACGTGACTTTACCGAAAGAACCAAGAAGATGAATCCCTGCAGTCACGAAAGCTTTAAATCGAAATTTGTATCGTCCTGCTTTCTGTGGTAACTGTTCTTGGAAATGTGATTATTTCCATAAAATCGAAGGATTTGGTTTGTGTCACTTGCGTTACTGTAGTAATAACAATAATGTCGTGTTTGTTTGTCCCTGGTTCCTTAGAAGTGGCAACTCTCACCAGGGCACTGCTGCCAGGGAGATTTTTGTTTTTGCGTAGAAAATATGCGGGCACGGCTTAATTTATCATTCAATATTTTGTTGCTGGTAGACTGGATCAGGCACCTGAGTAGTCACCATGGGGAGCCCATTGAATTAACCACAAGCGCTCGGAGACGAACACCGAAGGATGATCGACTCAGAGACCGGCCGTGTAGGCCACACAAAGCGTGGACTCAAAGCCAATAATTAACTGACGAGAGTGGGGGAGAGGAGGGTGTGAGAGGGGGGACAAGGTGGGAGGGGTGGGGGGACCTCGAGCGGGGAACTGAGTTGTGGCAGTGAGAGTGTCCGCCGTGCTGGATGTGACCCCTGACCCGCCGGGCCACTCGGCGTGCGTGTGAAGGGCGACCTGCCGACGCTCACGAGGAGGGACGGTGCCGGGCGCTTTGCGGCTGTCGTGTTTGAGAACGTGCACCGCTACGCCGCCATGGACGCGTGGAACCGTGAGCTGCTCGACCGCTACTGCCTCGAATTCGCCGTCGGCATCGTAGCCTTCCTCAGGGTGAGCGACGGCCGCCTGCTCGCACCCCCTACGAACCCGGCCACCCAACTGACTTCTCGCTCGCATATTTGAATTGGTCCTGGATCTCCCCTTGGTCGACTCGGCCTTCAACGACTACCTAGTACAGTGTTTAAACGTCAGCACTCACTCGTGTTTGCCGTGCTGCTCGCTAACGGCACTTGCCCCAACATTCGGTTAAAAGCACTACAGTGGACTCTTGCGTTTGTGTGAATACGTGCACGCACGCACGCGTGTACGACACACACGTACCTATGCATGTACATGCAAACAAGTATCTGCATACAAATACATACACACGTACATATGCCTACACAGGCTGTTGGGCAAGTGCTGTTAATGAGCACCTATGAAGGCCATCACGGTGCACGAGGGGGAGGTGGAGTCAGCATTGTGTCCAGGCCTCCTTCAATGTTGCTTACACATTACACTAGGCACTAGTTTAAGGCTGAGTAGACCTGTATAGGGGGAAGCCCAGAACCGGTTCAGAGCATCATCAATGATGTTAGCGGTGAGAGGAAATCGAATTCGGGCCATGGGGCTCGTAGAGCAGTGTGCTAACCCATGCATAGATGTAACAAACATTAAAGAAAGATTCCCCGTGTAGCCTTTACCTGACCATTGAGGCAAGTGTGCTGTTGGCGAGCACCCATCACAGATGTGAGGCGGTTAGGGCTAGCCCTATTTGCCCAAGCCACGGCCGCCCGTGCGCACCATCCAGTCGGATAAATGATTGTGGTTGGAGGACAGCGCTCACAGGGTCGGCCGTGACGTGTGACCTACGGGACGGCGGGCTGATGCCTCTCGCGGGATTTAAGCGCGATGACAGATCTGCCCTCGTGGCTCTCCGTGAAGGTGAAGAGGCAACGGCGTCGAACAATCTGCGCGCAAGAAGCTCTTCTGCCCCGCGGGTTGCATTGCCACATTTGCACTCCTGTGGCTTGTCTTTAACATATCTCGAATGCATCTCTACGTGTCTCTGTGTATCTTTATGGGTCTCCATGTATCTCTACATGTCTCTATGTATCTCTATGTGTCTCTACGTGTCTGTGTGCATCTTTATGGGTCTCTATGTATGTCTATGTGTCTCTATGCATCTTTATGGGTATATATGTATCTCTGCATGTCTCTATGTATCTATATGTATCTCTATGTGTCAATGTGTATCTTTATGGGTCTCTATATGTCTCTGTGGGTTTACTGTATGATTCATAGTTTGCGTTGCATAGCCAGATTTGCAATACTTTGGCTTGTCTTTAATGTATTTCTATGGATCTCTATGTGTCTATATGCACATCTATGTGTATCTATGTGTCTCTTTGTATTGTTATGAGTCCTTATGTGTATCTTTGTGTGTCTATGGGTTTACTATATTTATTCCATATATACGCGATCTAACCCAAAAAACTTGCATTATGGATAATATTGGTCACAAAAGCCGACGTGTTAAACATATATTCCATAGTTTGGGCTTCGCATGCACAATCGGACGATTCTGGCTTGTCTATTAAATTTTCCATTTATGAAGGAGATGCGTGTATTGATGCTCCGGTGCGGTTGATGGTTTCACGACTGTGTTCATCGAATGTCAAAGGAAGGTGGTGTGATGTTTGAGACTAAAAAGGAGGTTTTTACTCTGGCCAAGTAACCCAAACTCTGGATCATCCAGTAAACCACTGTGAAGCCCTCTCGTGGCGAGCAGACACCGACATCGGCATTTCGCCATATGCAGCAATAGAATGCTCCCTGTGGTGATTGTGTGTTATTAAAGGAAGCCACCATCCAAAAATCAATCAGCTCAAATCCAGCAAATAATTTGGTGCTGCTGCTGCTTTTAGCCAGTGGTGCAAAAACACAACTTAGCAAAATAACACAACGCGTTTGTCAATAACACTGCGGCCGTGAAAAGAAACGTATATCATAGGTGACTTTTCTGGTAGTGGCCCTTCCTCGCAGCGTGTAGATAAAGAGGCTGGAGAGATCGAGTCGATCGCAGCTGGAGAGGGTGCTTGTTACACAATGGGGACTGCTACGATTTACATGAATACAATGTTTAGAACTGAACAGTTTGTAGACTGGTGTACGGCTACTTATTTTCCTAATCAGTTATGCACCTCGGCTGTGCGTCTAAGGGGGCCCAACACCAGCAGTTTCAAACTTGATTCATGAGAAAAAAAGCCTTTAGAGACACACCCGAGAATACATTTCAACAGCAGACTCATCATCACAATTGTCAAAATCATTGCCAGCAGCAACATCAACAGAAGTACTACATGAGAATCATCAGTAGCATTCATAAACAATAAGCTGCAGCTGCAGCAAAAGGTAGCAGCAGAATTAGTTTAAACAGCAGAAGTATTTGCATCATAATAATATCAATAATCATCAACAGCATCACTCATCATCCCAATCATCATCTTAATCATCATCACCTCAATAATAAGCATCATCAGCAGGAGCATCAGACTGATCTTTAGCAGCATCATAACAATTATCAGCATCATTTTCATAACGAGCATCATCATCAGCAGTGCGTGCTACGAGTTGCAGCCACGGTAGGATAGTGCTTGGCGAGGCGGAATCATCTCACGCCCAGCGGTGCAGCCATTACAGTCACTTAACCCCACGGAGAGGGAGGCCGCTGCATCGCGCCACGCGGCCACCAGAGTGACAGGACCAATGCGCAGCCATTCGGACCAATTTACTTGGCAACTGCTTTGTAGTGGGCGGGAGGCTCACTTACAGAAAGAAGAATCCACGTACGCGCCACTTTGATTAAAAATGTGGCGTTCGGTGCCCGGCGGCTCAGCAAGATTAGCGTCTTTCTTTGCCGCTGTTTGTCGCCGTTGTTGTTGTTTTGTGTGAAGTCGCGAATAACGCGTGGCGAAGTGGGGTTGTCGGTTCGTCGGGAGAGACGAGGAGAAAAGAAAGTAATCAGGGCCGCAAAATAGGAGCGACAGAAAACAAACGTGGAGGAGGAGGAAGCCATCGAATCGGGTGGCTGCGGCGGGCCTAACGGTACCGGGAGTGGAGCGATGGAGTGAGCCAATTAATGCGCCAGGACTCTGTCAGTGGCCTGACGAGCAATTACTTCCCCGTGGCTTGGAAGACACCTTCAGCAAGCCGGCCAATTAAAGCCGCGTTCACACACAAAAAGCCTCTTGCCGGTCTCAAGGATGGATGCATGGTCCTGTTGCTACCACTGTACTGCGTTAGCAACAACAACAACAATTATGTCCGCGTCTGTTTATATCTACAGACACGCGGGCAGTAATATTGGGGTCTGTGCTCAACAAGCAGACGATATGAACTCGAGTGTTTAGTGGTTATCGTTTGCGTGTCACATTGTGAGTGTTGTTGTTGTTTTATGCCGTGTGTCTGCACGTGTCAGATTGTGGTCTGGGGTATGGAGACCGAGCGGATTCATTTATTTAAATAATTTTTTTGCGATTATTTTTTCTTTTTGTGTGTATTTTTTCTCGTTATTTATGTATTCCTTTTTTATTTTATTTTAAGTTCCAAGAGGAAGCTGGACGTGTCTTTGTCCCTGATGGAGGTCTGAATAGTGGTGTAGCGTGGTTGGGATGAGCCCTTGTGTAGGGAATAAAATTGGCCTCCCCTATCCAATTCACTCCTCCCAAATGCCCACACATTCATAGCCCAGTGGCTGGATCCTTTCGGCCCGTGGATCCTGGTGCAGTTGCCCTGCCTGCACACAAGGGATGAACGATGAATAGATTTCAAATCGAAATCGCAATTTGAAACAATGCGATTAGTAAATCGCAAAGGCTGCGATTTTTTGCAATTTGATAAGTCCTATTACTTTATTTTTGGAATTGTTTAGTTTGTTATTATTATTTTATTTATTTAACTTAACAATTGTTTTATGTTCGATTGTTCTATTTCAATTACAACATTTTAATAAATACATGTCGGAAGCAATTAATATCTTTTAAGTTCTCATCCTTGCATTAGAATATATAGAGCAGTTCATATTTTGATGGTATCATGTGGTAATGCTCCATCACATGTTTTAAATCTATTACACAGTGAATGTTGAACTGAAGCTTGACTTAAAAAAATGTAATCGCAAATCAAATTGCAATATCTGTCAGAAAAATCGCAATTAGATATTTTCCCCAAATCGTTCAGCCCTACTGCACACTCGATAACTACGCAACTGGTCCCAAAATTCTGGTGAATATCACACTGGGACTGAAACCGGTGGGATATTAGACTGCATCATCCTCCTTGTCCATTTCAGGTCAGAACTTTTATTTGCAGAATGCTTTCCATTAATGAATCATCGTCTAGTCACTTAGTGTGTCATCAACAGTGATCGATCTTTGGGAGGACTGGCTCCCTGCATAGAAATATGGACATTCCACTATTGCCTCAGCGTTGCCAACATAGATGACGATATGCACATGCAGCTCTGGAGATTTGTGGCTCAGTGGTTCGCTCACTGCGCTATGAACCCAGAAACATGAATTCTATCCTCGACCACAGCTCTCATCAGTGGCAAGTGATATCTGAACCGGTCCAGCATTGTTCCCTCTAGCAACTGACTCTGAACCATAGTGAAGCAACCCCCACAGCATGGGAGAAGGCCCTCTTTCAGCAAATGTCTGGACTGTGAATCATTGTCATTATGTCGTGCTCAAAACCTTCATACAGCCTTACCAGGCTGTTGGTGAAAGTGCTGTTAGCAAGCACCTGTAATAAGACTCTTTGAGACGACTTCTGGAATCCGTCTTTTATTCACTTTGGGTTACATCTACTTCACGCTGCTGATAGACAACGTGAAGGGACAGATAGACCGAGAGAGACGCACTGACACGTGGCAACTCGGAGCCCCACTCTCGCGTGGCTCCTTCCTCCGTTGGTTCCCGTTCTGACCACGTGTCGTTCCTCTCTACCCCTATTTAATCCCCGGGTCACGTGGTACGCTTCAGCCAATCCTCGTTAGCCTGCATCGAATCTTCCAAGCTCCCTCGTCAGCTCCCGGGACCACGCCCCTGACTCATCTCCCCATTGGCTGAGGCCAAAGCCAGCAGAACCAATCCTTATAGCTGTCACCCTTCCATCACGTCAGGGCCATGCCCCCAGGCTTCCCCCCATTGGCTGTAAACCAGGACCGGCAGAGCCAATCACCATGACAAGGTGTGGTATGCCAGTGAGCCGGATATATTCTCATATTACACACCCATAAAGGCTGGCACGGCAAACAAGGGGGTGGGTGGCCAACACCACGCCTGGCCGCCTTTGTCTTCCCAATGCTGATGTTTACACAATGCACCAGGTACTCATTTAAGGCTGATTCCACTTAGGAGAGGCCCAAGACTTATTCAAATATTCACCGCAGTTATTTGTCACGAGTGGGCATCGAACTTGGGTCGCCGGGTTCGTATCGCATGCAGTGCGCTAACCACTGCACTACTGCTCCGATACACACACCAACACTTGTGCATCAGAGAGTGCGCGTGCCGGTGTGTTAAGGAATATCGACGTCTATTACTCAGCGCACTCGGAGCCCGACCAACACTGAACGCACAGCCGTCCTCAGCACCGCCCAACCACTTTCGCACGGGATAATTATTTTCTCACGGTTCTTTGGGCAGTGGGCGAGGGTTGAGCGAGCGTTTGATCGAGCTCAAACAAGTTTAGTGAAGAGAGCAAAGTTATTACTATTCAAAGGTTTTTTTCTAGCGGCGTCCGATCAGATGTTCTTCGGTGCCATGTGAACACCGGTAAAGTCCAATTAACTTGCCGGCCGTCGAGATCCGGCCCACGCATCGTTTACAATACGGTAATCTTCTCGCAGTGGGAGACTTTTTCTTCGGCTCGGCTTGAATATGAAGTGGTGTTAATGTTGTTCAGGGTTTGTCCCCCCGCCACTACAGCACTCGCACTCAGCAAGGCGTTCGCAAGCGGAACACAGCTTGCATCGCAATAACAGACAACTCCCCTGAGGAGTCGCAGAGCCACCGCCAGCAGAGCTGAGTGCTGGCGGTTGCTCTTTCTTAACCTTCGCCGCTCTATTTTTCTTATCTGTCACCCACTGAAGACGGAGTTGAGAATAAAATCCTTCAGTGAGCTCCTGCTCCCACAACAGGAAAAAATATAACAAAAACTCTAAGTACTGGCTTCCATGCAAGGGGTCTTGTGTGAGTATGGGTCTTGTGTTCTGTGGCAAAGGGTTACAGAAGATAAACTCCCTCTCCCCCCGCCATCCCAAAAAGCGTTTATTGTGATGATATTCATTTATTTATGGTATTTACAGAGGAGCGAAAGAAAAGGTTGGGCGAGATTAAAGCTTTTCATGTGTGCCTGGAGATTTGAGCCGCAGCAATAGGAGACGCAAACGGCTCCTTCATCGCGGCTCCGCTCTTGATTCCGCTCCGCCGCTGCAGCTCCGCGCGTCTCGCCCCCACGGCCAGGGACTGTGCTCGCATCCCAATGAGCCCCCCCACCCACCCACCCCACCCACCCCACCCCACCCACCCATCCCACCCCACCCACCCATCCCATCCACCCCACCCATCCCACCCCACCCATCCCACCCCACCCACCCCACCCATCCCACCCCACCCACCCACCCATCCCACCCCACCCACCCCACCCACCCACCCCACCCATCCACCCCACCCACCCCACCCATCCCACCCCACCCACCCATCCCACCCCACCCACCCCACCCACCCACCCCACCCATCCACCCCACCCACCCCACCCATCCCACCCCACCCACCCATCCCACCCCACCCACCCATCCCACCCCACCCCACCCACCCATCCCACCCACCCCACCCACCCCACCCATCCACCCCACCCACCCCACCCACCCCACCCCACCCATCCCACCCCACCCATCCACCCCACCCATCCCACCCCACCCATCCACCCCATCCACCCACCCCACCCATCCACCCCATCCACCCACCCAACCACCCACCCACCCCACCCCACAATCTTCTGAGGGAGAAATTTCGGCGACCGCGATGACACAAACACATTGGCTCCGTTCACACGCCATCACCACTCAGACAGGGCGATGATATCGGCTAAGAAGGTCTTTTGAAAAACGAAATATGAATACGCATTTCGACGTGTTTTTTTACGTGGTTTATTTAGGACAACGCTGCCTCGTGAGGATGTAAATGCATGGGAGGGCTGGACGTAGATTAAAACAATTTGCCTTTTCTGCTTCTGTGGCCTCTAAATCGAAATACTGTAAACTAAACGATGAGAAATTTAGGAAAGCGGAGGGGGAAAAGCTACCCACGTCGTTGATGGCCCTTGGGCTACACCCATTTTACACCTTGAAAACAGTCGGCTTTTAGCAGCTGCCCCCCTCTGTTTTCCCCTGATGACGATCACTTGTGTTGTGATCTAAACGTCGTAGTTTTTTGTTTAATTTATTTTTATTCATTTAAACCTATCTACGTGACTTTCCTGAAAGACCCAAAGAATATGAATTTGTGTAGTCACGAAAGCTTTACTCAAGATTTGTGATTGCATACTCGGCATCATCATCGTCACTGTGGCCGTGGCTTGTAGGGGGTTTCTCGCCTTTTTAACTGACGAATCGTCCTAGCGCTAATCTTCAGCACGATCCAGCGTTCATCACTGGTCCTGGGCCTCCTCTATGTTGACTCAAATGAGGACCTGGTGCAGTGTGTAAACATCGCCACTGGGAGACAAAGGCGGCTGGGCATGATGCCGGCCACCCACCCCCTCGTGTTCTCCATGGCAGCCTTAATAGGAGCTCGCTTACAGCACTTGCCCACAAAGTCCACGAGGGAGATATTTGTCTTTGCAGGCTGGGGAGGGCGGCACTTCCGGGCTGCAGCAGCTCAAGGGCTTCCCCCTGCTGCTCCGAGCCGGCGCCTCGCTGCGCGATGGCGTCGTGAGTGTCGACGCTCCGCTGCTGAGGCTGGCGCGGGGCGGCGCCGCCGAGAGGGGAGCGCTCCCCGGGGCCGACTGGAGCCTGTTCTACCCCCAGCCTGGGAGCGCGGCCGGCAACTCGAGCGCCGCGTTCCGGCCGCTGCTGCTCGCGCACAGCAACAGAGGTGGGGGGGGGACGATGTCGATGATGATGATAAAGATGATGATTTTGGTACTTTTGTAATGGCGATGAAATTGGTGCTGATGGTTGTTGTTATAGGGTAGTGGTTCTCATATTGATTCTCATATCGACGACGAGGATCAAGACAGCTTTTAATACGATGAGAAGATGATGACGACGATAAAGAAATATATATATTTGATGTCGCCATCTCGATGACAACATTGATAATGACTATGATGACACATCGCCAAGCTCGTCTCACCATGACAGCACCACCTGTAACCCCCCCGCCCCCTACCGTGTCGCCCTCTCCGTCAGACGCACGAAACCCAGACGGTGCCAGTGAGGATGGCACCGGGAGGCACGCGGCCGCCGTCTACGGCACCGGCACAGCTGACGACGGCGCCGTGCGCCGCGTCTTCTTCGGGAACGGCGTCTCCTTCTGGCTGCACAAGCTGCTCTTCCTGGACGCACTGGCGTGGTGCTCACCAGGGCCGGCGGCCTCCGGCGGTGCCACGGCGCGGACGGCGCGACGCCTTGCGCTCCCGCTCGACCGCTACATCCTCGTGGACGTGGACGACATCTTCGTCGGGAAGGAGGGGACTCGCATGACGCCCGCCGACGTGGAGGTACGGGTGGCGGTGGCAGCGGTGGTGGTGGCGGCGACGGCGGCGGGGGTGGTAGCGGTGGTGGTGGTCCGCCCATCCTATGGCCGGGGTCCTATGAACATCCAACTCCCCTGAACTTGGCAAAATATTCACCATTGCCAGGCATCGATTCACCAGATCCTCATCGCTCACCAGTTGTTACACTATGGTAGGCAACCGGTTCTATGACACTCAAACAACACCTGCTTGACCATCATCAGTGTTCCACCAATCACCAGCCATCAACGATCCTGATTCTTCTCGCCAGTTTATCCAACAAGGTGGGGAGCCCGCTGAGAGTCGTGGCTTCTGCACATCACACACACGCCCCATCCCAGCGGCACACGCTGCTTATCCTGCGCCTAGTTTGAGCTCACGTCACACACCGGGCTATGACCACAAATAGTCGTGGGTGTCGGGGACCAAAAAGCCAACATTTTGGGTCAAAGGAAGGCATTTGTTTTCGTACTATTGTACATTCACGGTCACAATTTACATATATGCTTCCACATGAGACCTCGTTAATTGAATGTGGTGCATTGGTCTTGAAGAAATATACATACACACAAAGATGAATACATACAGATTGGCTGGTATTATTATTGAGATACTAATTTGGCTCTTTGTGATTGACCACACACAGAAGTTTGTAGATTTTTGCAAATCACAGTCGCGATTTGATTCAAGAGTTGATTTTAAGTGGCCTAGATTTTTCTACCCATCCGTTTGTATTGTTCTCATCTCTTTCCGTCATCTTGGAAGAGCGTTGTCCTGTCCGCTAATGCGAGTGCACAGCTAGCAGTGCCGTTCGCTAATGCGGCAAAAACCGTAAATTATCGACTCTCACGCGCACGAGTGAATGTGAGTACCGTTGAGTGCAAGAATCAATCCAAGTCAATTAATTCATGCATCGTCAGGTGTCGAGTAGTAAAGAAATTTATCTATCCTGGAAAAGCCTCCGCTGAGTGTATAAAAATAAAAGACATCATTTGCTGATACAGCTGCTGTGTTGGTTGCGGTGCACAAGCAACTCTGTCTTAAAATTAGTATAAAATAGGCAATGTGTTGGGCAATGGCCCACCTTTATAGGCCTCTTTATCAGGAGAGTTCTGCTCTGCGATGTCTGGCCACTTCCATTATTGAGTGGTGCGTCTGAGTAAACTGGATTACCGGAAAAAAGAAAACCCAGCATGAGGGGCATAACGCTAAAGCCTGCCACAGATGGGTGCCACAAGCCCACGTGCTGTCCTGCCATCTCCTGGCCTCTCACAGCCCAGCGAGTTTGGAAGTTACGTAAATATCTACTCGATTCACCAACCCCTTGCCTCCAATGCTCTGTATCACAAGTGTGACCCACCGCGCCAACATGTCGTATTTCGGGCAACGGCAGTGAATGTGGTCGCCGTGAAGGTGGTTGATGGTGGCGATGGCGTCGGTGGCAGGGTTTATTATTTATGGGCAAGTTGGTGAGTAGTCATTGAATACCGCACCATTTATTGTGATGACCCCTTGACCTTGATCGATGAGAATCTGGCCGGGAGGCTCTGGCTTGAGAACATTCCACTCGCAAACAGAAGGTCAAGAGTTTAACTCCCGGTTGGGGAGGTCTGGGGGGCTGGGTGGGAGAGAAGGGGGAGGGGGGGTAGCTGAGTGCATCTCCCTCCAGGGTCAATAAAATGAATACCACTTTTGTGGTGTCCTGTGGTTCGACTCCTTCTCACCATAAGAATGTGGAATTGAATTTTCGCCATTAGCTAAGGGCTGCCAACAGAGATTAGTGCTTCTACATTCTTGGTGAATTACAGATACACTTGAATGAAAAATATAACCAAAGGCACAGAGTTATCAGTAGAGGATCCTTTCAAAAAGAAAGCTTCACTGACAAAATGTTTTTTGTTTTGTAAGGAATAATAATGACACTGCAACAGAGAGTAATATCTGTTGTTTTTTACGAATCGACAAAAGTCAATGTGATTCCCTGCTCAATTGCGCATTGCAGAATTGGTTACTCATCTCCTGTGTACAGCTTTGAGGCAGTGGTCGGAAATTCCATATTCCTGTGGCAGGGGAGAGTCTTTTCAAAGGCCAAGCACTTTTGACTTCCCCACAAGGCGGTACTCATTGATCTCCAAAGGGATGATGGGCCGAGTCCATCCCCACCCAGGATTTGAACTCTGAACCTTTCGTTTTCGAGGCGGTTCTCACTCTACCGCTCATCTGCCGAATAGAGCACTGCATCAATACTCCAGTGAGGGCCCGTAAATCTCTGCTTGTCAAATTCCAGGGAACTGATTGTAGTCAGGAGTTTCCATGAGACAAATGAGGTCACCGTTATTGTTTGTTCCATAAATATAAAATGCGGTCATTTCCACAGGAGACCTGTATAGGGGGCGTGCAATGACACTGATAATCAAAGGGGCTGCATTTAAGCCGCGGAAAATCTTTTTATTTTTTTCTCCAGAGCACTTGAAGCTGCAAAAGATGGCTTCTGTGCATTCGTATAATTCCCCTCCGCCTTCGATCATTGTGATTCAGCAGGGCTCCACTCTCTACCGCTTAAATGCGAAATTAGTCGGGGAAAAGTGCCTCTTTCGGAGGAGCAATTTTAAGGTGCATAAATGTGGGAAGAGTGCATTTATATGAGAGGGGTGGGGGAGGGTGGTGAGATGGGTGGGTGAGGAAAGAAATGCTGTCAGGTGGAGTTGTAATAATACTTGCTTTTGAGGAAGTCCAATTTACAGTGCAATAAAAGAGGGCTCGCGCCTCAACAAAGTACCTCCTTAATTTGGCTCAGACTGCAGCTTAGTGTCCGTGGGATAATAGCGCTGACGCTTTACTGCCCAGCACTGCACGGCGCTCCAGCCATCGTGGCTCTCGCAAAACCCCGCCAATGCCATTTGTGCGCTGATCTCACCGCATTTGATGGGCGGTCACTTTCGTTGCACTTTGGTCTTACTTTTTTTGTTACATTTCTTCTTTCACTTACCTATTGCAAATTCAAAGGTCGCCGGTTCGAGTCGATCCTCCCACGTGGCGTTTGAAACACTGCCCCCCCCCCGCCACTGCTGACCTGCCTATCGGCAGATTGCTCTTGTGTTTGGGTACGCCCACGTCACCTGACATCTGGCCGCTCCGCGTGGAAGAGTAGGCCAGGGAACATCATGGCTGTACCTTTTCTGGACATATGGTGCACTGATTGAGGTGTTGTTGGAGAAAATTTCTAAATCAAACTTTTGGTGAAATGTGCTACTGGCCCATCAGCATTTGTTGCTTGATTTTGTGCAAAAATGTCTGAGAGCCATTAAATTATGCCTGACCCGACAACAGCGCACGGCAAATAGAACCATCTGGCTGCGTTATCAATTGCCTCCTCTGCCCACTCGAACACAGCAACGTCTGTGTTCGGTGTGGACGGCGGGTGGCACAGGGTGGGTGGAGAGACAAATACTCCCCACCACTCCCACACGGCACTCCTGTAAGGAAGAAGTGCAGCCCTTGCAATTGATTCCTCGCGCCACTGCTGGAGGAATGGCCAGCGCTAGAGGGAGCCCTAAATTGCTCTTAGAGAAGGTGTTTTGGCCTACTCTTTCACGTTGGCCAGATGCCTTGGAAGAGTCGAGAGTACCCACACTTTTCCCCACCACACGCAGCCTGCCGTTCGAACAACTGGATCGTATTATGTTATGCTGCTGGGCGGAAGCAGGTGGGAAGCTGGGGGAGGTGGAAGAAGGTTGTCCCAAGCTTGGTGTGCAACGCTGCCATGCCACGGTGGCAGCGTTGCGATGGCTTCTCCACACAGATTATTCACGTTGGACACGGAGGGGCCAGGAGCGCACCACGCGAACCCAGTGGCAGGTGAGCCCCTACAAGGGGCTCAAGCTGGGCGCTGCGCCAGACTCATTACCGTAACTCATTACGCGCCCCACTCTCCGGGGGCGTAAACTCTGCACTGCGAGCCGCGGAAAGCGCTACTGCTGCCACCACCACCGCTGCCACCACCGCTGCCACTCCGGCTGAAAGGGGCACGTCCGTTAACCAATGGCGACGCATTCGGAGTGTCGGCGTCGCACTCTCCCCGGATTTGCGCTCTCCCCGTTGACTCAAGCAAAGGAGCTCACAGCAGGCACGTGGAGCAAATCGTCGGACATCGTGCCAAACAAGATGCGGTACAACCTGAAAACACATCACGTGGTTGTAGTGCATGTTAACACGTTGTCTACTATGATCATTGTTATTATGCATCTGACCCATACTGAGACTTCTTATTTTCCGAGAGGACACATTTTTAAGGACAACAGCTCCCCGCAAAAAGAGGCTGATCCTGCGAAAACCAAGATAGGTGGCGACCCTAGAGATAACGCGCTTGCTGACGTAGCCCCTAGCCTGGAGCACGTGGCCAAAATAGAGAGTTCTGAGGGCCAGTCTGGCACGGTGTTTCTGAGATCTGTACCCTTGGTTGTCAGACTCGTGGAGAGATTGCAGTTCCCATCTCGGTAACCAGCCCTCCTTCATCCACGAAATTATCCGCCTAATTTATTCCGTGGCTCCACGTTTATTTGTTAGGCCGGCTCGCGCGTGTGTGTGTGTGTGTCTTTGTGCGTTGCGTACATGTGCGGTTTATTAAAACCGTCACCAAACTGCTCGAGTGAAATTTGCCCGTGGCAGCCCCCTTCCCTTCATTATAAAGTTATTATGGTTTGAAATGAAATCAATTGTACCCAGTAAACCCGATTAGGGATAATAAACGACTTTGGAGTTTTGTTTTGAGTGGCCGTAACGTGAATGGATGGGGATGGAGGCGCTGGCACGCTGTTGGTGGCCGGGGGCGACGCCGTTTCGGGTGTTAACAGCTCGAAGTCTGTTGTTATTAACTCGGAGAAAACAAACAAGAATTCAGTTATTGAGCAATTAACTTTAAAATTCCAGCGAGACGGCGGTGCGGTTTGAGTGCTTGACTGGCAACCTCCTCGTCTGCGGAGCAA